TTATTGCTACGTGAGTGTTTCCAGCCGTGATGAGCTATTTTCTGACTTGACAGAGGGCTCAAACCTGGGTGTGTGGACCAGAGGGTTGAGTGAGAAAGTAAGACTAAGTGATGAGTAGTAATTCCCTGCAACCATTATTGCTACGTGAGTGTTTCCAGCCGTGATGAGCTATTTTCTGACTTGACAGAGGGCTCAGACCTGGGTGTGTGGACCAGAGGGTTGAGTGAGAAAGTAAGACTAAGTGATGAGTAGTAATTCCCTGCAACACTCAGTCATTTCCTGTAAAAATATGCATGATTGTTACCTGAGTGCAGTTTATGGTTCAATCCTTGGGGAAACCACAGAGCCTACTTTGAAGATTTTGGGGGGTCTTTTATGTATGAATTGTGAGGAGTGACCATTTTATCTCTGGAAGTTTTTAAGTAGAGGCCAAAGGACTTCCTTCCAGGGTGCTGTAGATGTAAAAGATTAGGCCAGATGACTTTAGGAAGGCTCTTTTGATATTTTAGTATGCCCATTACCCTGTTAAAAAGTCTTGTACAAAATAGATCTATGTAACCCACCCTTTCCTAAGTTGATTAGGGAGACCTTTTTTATTATTTATTTATTTATTATTTTATTAGATGAAACAGTATCAACCTTTGTGATCTCATTTGCATCCCCTATACCGGCCTCCCTGGTTCCCACGAGTGGGACAGTGCTGGTCTTCCAGAAGACAAGCAGGGGCATTTCCTGCCAAAGTATTTAACTATGACACCCCTTTCTGCTTTAGCCTGAGTACTTCTACTCTCTGTTATGTTTTAGCCAGAAAATTGTATTTGGGTTTGAATTCAACTCCAGAATACAGGTGTAGTGTTTCTTTGCCATGAAGTAGTAAGTTGTTTCTCTCTAAGGGCATCTGAGGTTTAAGGTACATTTCCTCCCTTTGAAGAAGGAACACTAACCCCAGATCTCATTGCTTTCCCTAATTCTTTTCCTAATGCCCATCTTCAGAGTAAAGAGGTAGTAAGAAAGTGATCTTTCAATTATTTGCAGGTGCAGAACTGTGAGGTGTGATTGATGGCACATGGGGATTTTACTGCCTGGAACATAGTTGTTAACGTAAGGGCTGTTCTTGCAGCTGCTAGTAGAGATGGCTGATTTCCTAGCATATGAGTTTCTGACAGCCACCTCAGGTTATTGCTGGGGTGTTGGCATGTCAGAAGTACAGAGGAGGAGAAGTTGAAGCTTGGCCTCTAATGCAGATCGCATGTTCACACCTCTCTTCTCCAGTAATCCCAAAGTCCTATTAGAGCAGTGGTTTATTAGAGCATGGGCCCAGGAGCCTGACTGCCTAGGATCAAATCCCACTCCGCTGCTTGGGCACTTTGTGACCTTGGGCAGGTTACTTAAAATCTCAATCCCTTAGTTTTCCTGACCTGTCAAATGGGAATGATAGTAGTGCCTGCCATGGGAGATTAAATGAGTTAATACTCACAAAGCACTTAAAACACAGTATGATGTGTTAGCTGCTACTATTGTCATTTTATTATCCTTTTTAGCATCCATTTTCATCTTCCCAATCCCCTGCCTCATTCTACAAGTATTTTTTATGTATATTAAAAAATAGACATGAAAGTAAAAGAATCAAGGAAATAGAGTTTAACATTAAGACTGAAGGGAGTAAAAGACTAGACACACGTTCAGGCCCAAAGGCCTTGTCTTATTGCTTTGGTTTAGCCTCACACTTGGTGCTGGGCTTAGGTGAAGCCAAAAAAAATGGGGAAGGAGGGCACAGTTTGTTACATTTTTGTGCTTGTCCAGGAGGAAAAATGCTGACTATATTCTCAGGAGAAGCCAAACTTGTGCTAGCACCTCAGAGGAATTCTGTGCAGGGCCTTCCCCTCTCTCCCCCACATTGACGTGGCTGTTGTAGGACACTTAGCCTGCTACTAGGTTTTTCCACCATCATCACAAACACCCTTTCATGTTGTCACTGCTGTTGCAGAACAACACTTTATCAGTGAGTTCTTCTTTGGCTCTAGAAAAGGGGTTCTTAACGTGGAGCCCCTGAACCCTAGGTGACGTAGGAAGGTCTATAAATTACCGGAAGTTGTAGGCACAAGTTTGTGTATATTTTGGAAAGTGTCTTTTCTGGCAAAGAATTCGTGGCTTTTATCAAATTCTCAAAGGGCTGGGGGACATAAAAAGGTTAACCATTGCTGTGGGAGAAAGTCTAAACTCCTCAATAATAGCAGCTGTCATTTATTGAGTATTTAATAGGTGCCAGGCACTGGGTTAAGCCCTTACATATACATCTTTTTAGTCATCACAACAACCCTGTGAGGTGAGTACTGTTGTCTGCATTTTACAGACGAGGACACTAAAGCTGGACTTCTTCCCAAGATCACACAGCTAGTAAAACAAGGATTTAAGTGCAGGGCTATTTCTGCTTCCAGCAACTCTGCTGTCAGCCACAATGACTACTGCCTCTCCTTGTGGACATTCAAAATTGTCCAGAGTTTGTCCTGACTCTGCCTTCCTAACCTTACACAGTTTTCCTTGTTTCTGAATTCCTTCATTCCAGCCAAACTGGTTTCTTTGGTGTCCCAATTCTGCCTTGTTTTTGGTTCTCTGGCTTTTGTTTGAGACTCCGATTGAGTATGCCCACTCTCTTGCTTTGTGTTTATCCAATCCCGTGCATTCTTCTGTGTTCCCCTCCATCCCCACTCCTCTACTGAGCATGTTATCCCCTACCCCTGACTAGGCAGCACACCACAATCCTGTTCCTCAGAACTCCAGTTTAAACTATAATTCATTCACTTCTTTGACCATATCCATGTACTACTGGGTGACATCTCCTGTGTTGTCCTGCGCTCTTTTCCTGATATTTAACTTAATTTTTCTTACTAAGTAAATTGTAAATTCCTGGAAGTGGGAGGGCTAGTTTTCAGGAGCATTGACTATCTGTCTAGCTCTGCCAGATATTCTCACCTGTGTTCTCTTCTTATACCTCTCAGTAACTTTGGAAGTAGGTGGGGTGCTCTCCATTACGCAGGTCAGGATGCTGAGTATTAGAAAGGTTGAGTAACTTGTACCTGCTGTTATGGCAGATTCAAGCCCAAGTCTATCTAAATCCAAAGCTGCATCTACTGACACATGCTACCTCCCTGCCCAGGACCTCCTACCCTTGTGTACAGGTCAAGCGAGAGGTAACAGTCTTTTCCTTTTTTCTCTCTTTCATCCAGCAAAAATTGTACCTTCTTAGAATTTCAGGGACCACCATTGCCTGATTCCTTAAAACTACACTATCCAATAAGGTAGCCAGTAGCTACTACCTTAAATTATTTAAAATTAAATAAGACAGACATCATTGTTCATTTGCACTAATCGTATTTCAAGTGCTCAGTAGCCACATGTGGCTAGTGGCTTCCCTAATGGATAGTGCAGCTATAGCATTTCCATTGTCACAGAAGAGTGCTGCCACAGAGCTAAAGTGAACAAGTTAAAAGCAGAAATATTTTTAAGGCTTTTGATCACAGGCTGCTAGTTCTTAAGAGCTGAGGCTTTGAGATCCCTTAATAAAGACCTTACAGTCCATTGAGCAGAACTTAATCTACCCAGAATGAACAAAAGCAGACAGGGCATTATCTCCAGTGCTGACACCCACATATTCATTTCATTTCTACTTTTTGGCTGCTTGTCCTTTCTGTAATGTGTCATTCTCTCTCATCTCTGTACATTTGTGTGTGCTGCGTTCCTGTAATGCTGCACCTATCTCCTTTCTCTACCAGCCCTACCACTCTTTATCCACCTGACTGACTGGCCACCAGTCTTTGGCACTCAGTCCAGATTTTTTTCTCTGGGAAGCCTTTCTTGATGTTTCCCTATCCTCTCCTTGCCCACTTCCTCCAGAAGAAGTGGCTCTGTGCTGACATGGCCCTATGTACTTCCCTCTGTCACAGCGCTATTGCACAGCCTTAAGGATGGTTTTCTGCCTATCTGTGCCCCTAGATATTAAGCATCTCAAGGGTAAGAACTGTGTCTGATTATCTTTATAGACCTAGCATCTAGTTCAGTGTTTGGCATACAGGTATTCCCTCATTATTTAAAAATTATATGATGAAAGTAGATGTTCATTAGAAAGTTTTTAAGATAGTACAGACCCCATCTCTCCTACCCCTCCTGCCAGGACAGCTTAAATTGGATTTCATTTTACTTCACAGCAGCACTTTTTAATTTATTCTCAGTCTTGTGTGACCCTGAAGAAATAAATGCCACATTATTTTACATATAAACTTAGGGGGGTTAACCTTCTTTCACATATATTCTCTTCCAGCCCCACCAAAAAAAGAAAATGTAACCCCAGTGTCCTTAACTCCTTAGCAGCTGATGACAGGAGTTTCTTTAACTATCATTTTGCTCCTTTCTGTATCTCTAGCGATAATAGGGTGACATCCTTCAGAGACCTCATTCATGACCAAGATGAGGAAGAGGAGGAGGAGGAAGGCCAGAGGTGAGTCTTCGAGGGGTGGGATGGGGTAGGGGGGACAGTCCACAGAAAGTCTGCAGTAATATGTGAATCGCCTAGAACAGGATCTGATAAACACGCTCAGTTATTATTGGCCATTACTACTACAGGTTAACCTGAGTGGGCTATATCCTAGGAACAGTCCTTTACTCCCTTTATCTTAGAAGTGATTCCTTGTCCCCTGTTACTTTTTTTTTTTTTTTTTTTTTGTGGCGGTCTGGGTTTGTTTTTGTTTTCTAAATTATTTAAATAATGTGTATTTATTGAGGAATATTAGGGGGAGAGAAACAAAATCATTAAGAAGGAAAAAAAGGATCTTGTAATCCTACCTCTGGGTATTTACCCAAAAACTTTTGAAGTCAGTTTGTCAAAGACATATTTACACTCCCATGCTTATTCACAATAGCCAGGTTATGGAATCTAAGTGTCCATAAGCAGATGAAGGATACGGAAAATGTGGGATATATACACAATGGAATACTATTCAGCCCTAAGGAAGGAAATTCTGCCATTTGCAACAACATAGATGGAATTGGAGGGCATTATGGTAAATGAAATAAGCCAGGCCACAGAAAGACAAATACATGATCTGACTTATATGTGGAATCTAAAACAATCGAATTAAACAGAAGTAAGAAGTAGAAGAGTGGTTACACAGGCTAGGGGTGAAGTGATGAGGAGATGATATTCAAAGGGTGCAAAATCTCAGGAGAAATATGGTTTTTAGTGGGGGTGGAGGGATCTGTTGCAGTGTGTGAATATAGTTAATAATAGAGTATGGCACATTTCAAAATTACTAAGAGTAAATTTCAAATGTTCTCACCACAAAAAATGTCAAGTATTTGGGGTGATGGATTGGTTAACTGCTTTGACTTAATTATTCCATATTGTACTCATAAATCAGAATATCACTTTGTACCCCGTAAGTATATACAGATATAAATTATCAATTTGCAATAGAAATTTAAAAAATGAAAAGAAGGAAAAAAAGTCATTATATTACAACCCAGACATAACCAGTTATTAATATTTTGGGTGTATTTCTTTTCAGCCTTTTTTTTAAATTGAAAAAGTAATACTTTAGAATAGAATAACAGGCTTATAAATGTAATCCCTCCCTCCCCCCCACACACACCTACTGATTTTAATTTTTAGGAACGTTGTAATAAAATTAATGTTTATTATGGAAAATACAGACTAGTCTGATGAAAAAGTATAACACTCATCTCCTTTTGGTAATTATGGTTAATATTTTGGCATATTTCCATTCTTTGTTCTGTGTATAAACATACTTTGTCTTATATCGTATGTTACATGGTGAAGTTAGATTATTTTACTTCTTGCTTTTTTTCAATTAACACTACATTTTAAACACTTCTCCATATCTTTAAAATTCTTAATAAGCATTTCACTGGCTATAATAATTCATTATATAGGATGTCTAACATTTAGGTCGTTTCCAGTTTTTTACCACTGCAAATATCAGTGCTGTGAACATCTTTGTGTATTGATCTTTGACCACATCTTAGATTATTTTCTTAGAATAGTTCCTAGAAATGAAAATACCAGGTCAAGGGCATGAATATTTTTAAGGCTTTTGATCACAGGCTGCTAGTTCTTAAGAGCTGAGGCTTTGAGATCCCTTAATAAAGACCTTACAGTCCATTGAGCAGAACTTAATCTACCCAGAATGAACAAGAATGAAATGATTACAGCCTTATTTCATGGGTTTTGGCTGTCCATGGATCTGCCTCAGTCTGTCAGACATTCCTAAGGATCAGTGTACAATAACCATTACAGAAATGCAGTTACCTCATTATGGTTAGTCTTTGGGAAGTGGGCAAAGAAATTACATGTGTTCTCTGTTTTCATCCATATTGTGACTTTCACGCTGCCTCAGAACCAACCTTTTAGATATACAGGCCCAGGAATATATGTTAATTTTAGGGTTTTACACTCCTTGAGTGAAAGAGAGTGTCATCAAGTATGTGAATGTCCAGCTCCTAAATGAACTCCTCCTCCTGCCCAGTCACATCGTCCAGGCAATGGCTTTCCTTTATTTCACATCCCCATTACTTCCTTAGGCCCTCAGCATTTCATACCTAAAAGGACACTGGTACTGTTATTCTTGCCAGGGCCTGTGGCTTTGCCTCAGATTCCTTGGCAAATGTCAGGAAATAGAGGGCTGGGACTAATTTTTATAGGTTCTCAATTCTCCCCGCTTTGGGAAATGCTGTTGACTTAGCTGTACATAGGAGTGATAAGGAGGCAGCTGGCCAGGCTACATGACAACTGGTTTTCAGATCCAAGTTAAAAAAAAAAAAAAAAAGTACTAACTTAATCTCAAGCCATGCTTAGCCTATTGCAAAGTCCAGTGTGGGTGTCTTGGGGCTTGCATCTGAGATTGGAGCTTCCCTGACCTTCTCTGGTACCCTCTCCTCAGTGTTCCTAGTGTGTGTCACAAGAATGGCAAGGTGATTCAGGCTTGGGGGAGCTCTTGGTACTATACCACACCACCTTACACGTGTGCATTACTCTGCTTGTTCTTTTGCATACATCTGCTGATTTGAACCTCACGGGCCTGACTTAAGGAGCAGGTAGGTAGGGCATGTGCTTCTTCCTTCCCATTTCAAAGACAAGGAAAGTGAGGTGCACAGCAGTGCACTGGTTTATCCAGGGTCACACAGTGGCAGAGCCAGGACTGGAGCCTAGCTGCTTGTACTAACCACACCACTGCCACCAATAACCCACAGCTACTAGTGGTAGCTGTTTTTGACTATGATCATAGTCACTGTCTCCTGGAGAGGTGCTGGCTACTGGATGAATAATTCCCAGCTAAGGCTCTCTCGTGAGCTGACATGCTGTTGTGCATGCTTGGAATGCCCTTTCCTGATTTCTTCACCTGATAAACTCATCATCATCCTCAAGACTCAGCCCAGAAGATATCCTCTGGGGAAGACTTGGCTGTCCTCCCCAGCTCAGTGTTCCCAGAGACCCCTTACTGACATCTGCTGCTACTCATATCTCATTGTACCTGCCTGCCTCCTTACATGTGTCCCGCCTAGCCAGTAAGTTCCCTAAAGATGGACATCATACCCTTCACCTCAGTGTACCCAGCACCTAGCCCAGAACTTAGCGCATGCTCTACTCATGTTTTCCAAGTGCGTTTGGTGTTAGAGGTGTATTTTCTATGCAGGTTTTATGCTGGGGGCTCAGAAAGAAGTGGACAGCAGATTGTTGGCCCTCCCAGGAAGAAAAGTCCCAATGAGCTGGTGGATGATCTCTTTAAAGGTGCCAAGGAGCATGGAGCTGTAGCTGTGGAGCGAGTGACCAAGAGCCCTGGGGAAACCAGTAAACCAAGAGTGAGCATAAGGATCATTGTCTGTGCCCACAGGACTCAAGTTCCAGAGGGGGGAAGAAAGCCTTCTTCATGCCAGTTGTGACTGATTTTGTTTTTGTTTTTTTCATTTGCTCACTTGGTCTCTTATGTGGAAGACTAATGTAGTTTCTCTTACCCTTTAACAAAATACCAAGATTTGGGGCAAAGTTTTCAAACCTGTCGCCTATGGTCTGGTGGATCAGGTCCTGCAAACATGTTTTGTTGGTCTGTCTAATTTGACCTACTCAGTGTTTTGCTTCATTTTATTTTAATTGGATTAGTATCCACCTGTTTTATGTAATATCCGAGTTACTCTCATCTTTGGGAAAATCAAGTCTTTTGTATTATCCTACACCCAAATTCTACTTGCCTTGATTAACAAGAGCTTAGTAGCAGCTGTTCCCTTTAGCCAGGCACCCCCACCCCTTCCAGCTTTCACCCCAGTCTTGGCCATTCAGTTCGTTTGGCCTTGTGGGCACTGAGTTTGATTCATACAGAAAGTGCATCTAGTAGTTAAGCTTGATCAGGAACCCTGTCCTCTTTTTTCCACTTATCTAAAATACATCATTGTATATGAGTAACCCCACCACTATTGACCAACCTCTCAAGTGTTTATGAACTTGTCCTTTGTAGCCATTTGCAGGGGGTGGCTACCGCCTTGGGGCAGCACCAGAGGAAGAGTCTGCCTATGTGGCAGGAGAAAGGAGGCAGCATTCCAGCCAAGATGTGAGTGTTGATCTACCTTTCTTAGGGAAGCTCATGGACTGTATGTTCTGCCACTTTCGGAAAGTATTAGTCACATATTGTACATGAATCAGCAGCCTATGAAAGGGAAGCCTACAGAGTCAGTGCCCTTGCTGTGGTCCATGCACAGGGAGGCTTACTGAAAAATCAAAGGCAGTTCTCTCTGGCTGTGTGAGGGGGCTGGTGAGAATGGTTTGGGGAAGGAGATGTACAAATGAAGGAGTTTTCTGTGCATTCCGTGTCTCAGGTAGAGGAAGATTAAATTGGACTTCTCTGGTGGTGTGGATATGGCTGAAGCACTTGGTCTTCAGACCACCAGAGACGACCTGAAGTGCAACTTTAAGTTTTCGTTGTTACTGTCCAGTACTTTTTTCCCCTGTGTAAACTCCCGCATAAGTGTAATCATACTATATGGACAAATTTGAATCTTTTTAAAATTTAATACTATGCCACAAACATTTTCTTGTAGCCCTGTGACCGTTAATTTCTGTAGTGTATGTTTAAATCATTTTGGTTTTTATTCCAAAATTCATGCAAGAAGAAAATAAAAATCCTATGTACCTGAGACAGCAGCTGCTAATATGCTGGTTTTTACCCTTTTCTGTGAATATGTGTGAGGAATTGTTAACGGAAATTGTAGGTAACACTTTTTATGACTGTAAAATAGTCTATGAGATCTGCCATGGTAGTTTAGTTGAACCCGAGCTACATAACAAGCATAGGGGCAACCCTACAGATAAGGAAGCCACAGCTTTGACTGAGTCCCCTACTTAGGGCCACCCAACTAGTGAGTGGCAAAGTCAAGATGCAAACCCAGGATCTCCTTAAAACAGAGCCCATGCTCTTAACCTGTGCTACATCACCTTTCTATTTGAGGTTAATGCTTATTTGGTTTGGTTGTTGATTGATTTCCCTTTGCATACACACCTACATATGTGTGCGTCTGTATTTTAATAATAGCAACACAAAGAAATAGTAAAAACCTGCTAATTTGCAGGTTCAAATTGGTGTGCTTGCCAGGTTCCTGACAATGTACTAATCGCTTACCTCCTGTCATCACAGGTTCATGTAGTGTTGAAGCTCTGGAAGAATGGATTCAGCCTGGACAATGGTGAACTCAGAAGCTACCAAGACCCATCCAATGCCCAGTTTCTGGAGTCTATCCGCAGAGGGTGAGCAGAAAAGTCCTCTTCCAGGTCTTGAATCAGTGAATGAGATGGCAGCTGGGAAAAGAAGAGGCAGAATATTTGTTATTTGAGAAGTTTTTTTGTTTGTTTGTTTTTGAGGGGGTTTTCCAGTAAGGACCAGAAAACTGCTAGACAAATTCCAAAAGAGCTGTAATACTGAGAAGTAAATTTTTGGAAGCAGTCAAGATACAGATTCATAGATCTGCTCCAAAACCCTTGTGTGTCCATTTTTTCCCCTCTGGGCCTATGCCAAATAAGAAATAGGTGTCGGCTGTGACTGATCAGGTAAGAGAGAAGGTGGAGGCAGAGAGGCAGCCACTTAGAGTAGCTGGCTCCCTGTGGAGGCCCAGCGATTTCCACCATTGGGACTGAGAGGTTCCTTCTCCACTCACCCCATCACTGTCATTTCCATCCTGTTCTCTGTGGACGCCAGCATTGCCTTTTCTCCTTCAGGGAGGTGCCAGCAGAGCTGCGGAGGTTAGCCCATGGTGGGCAGGTAAACTTGGACATGGAAGACCATCGGGATGAGGACTTCGTGAAGCCCAAGGGGGCTTTTAAAGCCTTCACTGGAGAGGGTCAGAAACTGGGCAGGTAAGGAGAAGCACAGGTGGGAGCTGGACTGCGTCAGTCATACCTGCCGAGTCCAGCAGAACTGTGTATTGCTCACTTTCGATAGCTCTGTTTGCAAAGTAATTCAGATTTTATTTTTATGGGAGGAAGAATGTGGAGAACATGAGCTGCAGAGTTAACAGACCTGAATTTAAATCTCTGCTTCTTCACTTTGTGGCTGTGTGGCTTTGGACCATATAACCTCAGTTTCCTCCACTATAAATAGAACTACTAAGAGTCCTTACCTTCTGGGATTATTGTTGCAAGGAATAAATAAATGAGCTGATGCATACAGAGCACTGCCCCATGGTGAGCAGTTGGTGTGAGCCGTATGTGTAACCTAATTCCTGCTTTGACTCAGTAATCTAGGGTCTTCAGGGATGGTGTGATCTCCTTGATGACCTAAGGCTAAAATGGGGAATAAGGAATTTCAGACTCTCCTGCCCAGCTGTGCCTTGCAGTGGCATTGGTCAGGATCCTGGGAAGCTCAAGGACATTGTTGCTCCTGTGTGGGCTGGTGCTCCACCATTGTGGCAGCTCAACAGTTCTTATCTCTACTTCTTTGTCCCTTCCTGACACTGTCACTTCCTGTGACTTTTTCTGCCTTTTGTCCTCTGCCACTGCCTTGTCTTCTCACTTCTGTGCCTTCTGCCAACAGATATTCTCTGTTGCATTCAAACACTCTGATGGGATCTGGTTGGTTAATAGTCACTGTTATCTCTGATAGGCACAGTTTTCCCACTAGACTCTTGGCGGGCCCATAGGTAGGCTGCCTTCTCTCTGAGCCCACTTAGCTTCAGCCATGGCCATGGCATCACTTGGCCAATGTTCTTCAGAGGGAACTGTGTACATGATAAGCACTCAGAGCATAGTGGCTCTCTTTGCCAATACAATCCTTATTTTGCAGCGAGAAAGCTGAGGCTCTTGGACTTTAGGGACTTGCCCTTGGGTACGTGGCCAGTGTGTGGCACAGCCAGGACTGGAACCCAGGCTTTCTGATTGACATTCCTTCCCACGCTCGGTCTGCACAGCAAGACACCCTCTCTGCCCTAGATCTAGCAGCTGTCAAGCTAGTCACTGCCTTGCTCACTTTACCATCTGCAGAGGTCAGAGTGTGGTCTACCTGCATCCATCCCTCCTAGAACCCCCCGCCTCCCTGTCAGCCATTTATGCCTCATCAGGAATAAGAGTCAGACCTCAGGACGTCAGAGACCAATAGATTGTGATTGACCAGGACCAAAATAGTTATTTCAGCCCTGCTTTCATCATTTCATCTACCGTACTGGGGATTGTGGGCCAGCCCAGAACAGCTGTTCTCAGAGTGAGCTGCCCTGTCAGCTATGGTGAGCTTTGTAGAGCACCTGATAATTTCATTTCTTTTATTATTGAAGTAAAACATGTTCATCTTAAAAAAAAAAAAAATAGAAAAATGCAAATAAAGAATGAAAAACTGTCTCAAGCTTAAAAATCAGAAATATCTTAATTAGTATCTAGGGAGTATATCTTCCTACTCTTATTCACTTATATAATGTGTGTTTGTAAATTTGCTGTTTTATTGCCTGTTTTTTGCCTGATCATTGAAGTATGGCTGTCATTGCATATTAGAAAATGCATTTCTACACTTTTATAATGTTTCCATAATTTTCCGTCCTGTGGCTGTATTATGATTTAACCAATTAACCTGTCAAACATTTAGGCAGCTGCCAGTGTTATGAACGTTACAGTGAATATCTCTGCAAACTAAATCTTTGCATACTCCTTAATCTTGGGTTAGAAGTAAAATTGTTGGCTTAAAAGGGCTTTATATATTTTTAATATGTGTCAAATTGCCCTCCAGAAAGGTCGTATCCGTTTTTTACCCCCACCATCAGTTACAAGGGAGGACTCAGAATGCCATGAAGTTTGAGTTTGTTTGATTTCATAATTCTAACAGGAAATATGTCTACTGTTGGGAAACCTAACTGTATTATATGCACAAGAGTCCACATCTCAAAAAATGTAAATATTTTTGAGAAAGTCTATGAGGGTACTTCAAAAGTTCATGGAAGGATTCATATTTTCTTTTAGTTTTGTTTTTCTGTGAACTTTTGGAGTACCTCCTATTTTAGCTGGGCGAAAATAAATACTAGTGTGGAGAATGAGTGCAAGCTGAGATGGAGCTTTGATAATCAGGTGTGCTGTTTGTCAGCCGAATCAGTGGTCATTGCCACTTCCACTTGCATTTATTTTAGTTCTGGCTTTTTATGAAAACTAAGCTAAAAAAAAAAAAAAAGTTTTATATAGCTAACTGAGATGGGATTTTAGCTTCTTAGTCTAACTCAGATGGGCAGTTTCTTTAGCATTTCCCATAAATGTTGTTATGTTTTCTATTGTTTTCTTGTGAACTACAGTGAAAGCCAAAAGTTTAAGAAAATTTTCTCAGGTTTGCCTCAAAAATCACTCAGTCCTGGTTGTAATGATTCAGCAAGGCTGTGGATGTAAAAGCCCCCTTAGTTAAATGCCTGCACAAAGTAGGTATAAATGTTACTCCTGTTTTCCCTGTCCTTTACCCTTACCTGAATAGATGTTGGCTACTTTGGAGTAACAGCTGCTTTCTCATCATAGGCATGACTGAAAATGTGATAGCTCCCTTTTTGGCAGGCAGTCACTTCCATGAGTACCTGTTTTTATATTTGGAATTATTATAAACAGTTGAGGGACAGGCTGCCTAAAGTCTAATTGAAGAATTGACCTAATGCCTGTAAAAGTCATGAACTAAACAGGATATAATGGATCTTAGGCATTTACACGTGTAACATTTAACTTTTCACTATTCCCAAGCAACTCCTGAGGCCAGTGGAGGTATAATTTATCATGTCCTGGCCCACGTTTGAGTCCCACATGCTGTGACGCTGATGAATAGAAGCAGCTCCTCTTGAAACTAGTAAGTGTAGCCAGCATTCTCCTTTGAGCCCCACTTTGTAATTCGCTAAGCACATATATTTCACATTCACAGAAAAGAATAAGTTCACTTTTCAGTGATTCTTTGCTAGTTATATGCTCTGGGACCATGTTGCACAAACTGGGTTCCATGAAATACTTTTTCTCCAGGAGGTTAACAAGTATAACATGGGGGAAAAAAGAGCCTGGTGGTTGAACAAGTTTGCCTTAACTGCATGATCTCTCAAGACCTTTAATATGCTAGTGGCCTCTGATGCTGCTGGTATAATAGGTGGCATTGCCTAAACCTTCCTGTAGATATCTTAAGGGACTAGGATTCAATGGAACACACTTTGGAAAGCACTTTCAGTTACATTTGCTATGTGTGCCCTTTTTAGACTAAAGATCAGAAGCAAGAGTGAGGTACAAGAATTGATCTAATAGATGCTTTGTGTGGAAGTGAGCAAACTCTCATCTAATGGCCTCTCCTCTCTGCAGTGGTCCAGGCCAGGGCCATCTGCTGAGGGAAGGCTGAGAGTGAGGTGGATAGGTGGTTTAGAGGAGCAACGGCAGCTCCAAATGGTTGTGGAGAATTAGAAGACCTATGTGCATTTTGTGTTTGTCACCCACCTGAATGCTTTATGTAATTAATTATTTACTTGAATCTTCACAAAATTTGAGCAAGGCAGGTAGCTTTAACCCTTATTAAAAATCCTTGTTGAAACTAAGGGAGCTTGAGTAACTTGCCTAAGGCCACATAGCTAGTGGGTGAATTCAAACCCTAGTCTATCTGATTCTAAGATCTGCACTTTGAACACTGCAGCAGACACCATGTCCATTTCACTGAATCATTAATCCCCGTGGTATCTAGCACAGAGTTGGCCTTTGGGAAATCTTGCCCACAATCCCCCATAGTTGATGCCTGAGTGTAAATGAGGTTGCACCAGGGGATATAGGCCTGAAGATTCCATCAAGAGTCAGAATTGCTCCCCTTACATCCCACCAGTCACCTGCCAGGCTGTGTGCAGGCTGCCTCAGCTGCAGATATGGAGTGCTACCCTCAGTCACTCCATTGGCTAATAAAACTCCAAGACTCATCCCGGTCTGTTGGGTCCTCCAGCCTCATGATCCCATCTCTCTCACCATAGGCTGTCCTGTGTACTGCATTCCTCCCTTTCAGCCCTTGCTCAGGTGAGGACACTGAGGAGGAAGAAGGTTGAGTAACTTGCCCAAGGTTACTCAGGAGTGAGGGAGTTACAGCAACAGGTGACTCAGGGTTTGAGGTGAATTCTGCTGGACCTGTAAGTTCCCTCAGGGCACCGATATTCTGTCTGTCTAGGTCACTATATCAGCAGCACCAAACAGTGCGAAGCACACAGCAAATGCTCAGTAAAAATCTGAAAAGGGAGTTCCTTCCTGCTGGGGCTTTGTTTCTACTCCTGTCCTGATGTGATCCTCTCTCCTCAGCACTGCCCCCCAGTTGTTGAGTACCAGCTCTCCAGCCCAGCAGGCAGAAAATGAAGCCAAAGCCAGCTCTTCTATCTTAATCAACGAGTCAGAGCCTACCACAAACATCCAAATACGACTTGCCGACGGTGGGAGACTGGTGCAGAAATTTAACCACAGCCACAGGTACCTTGCGTTGCTGGCCTGGCTTATTCTAGGAGTGTCCCAGAGACTCCTGCAAATGTGTGGGAATCAGGGAGCCATTCTTCCTCCTAATCATCAGCAGGCATGTCATGCTGTCTCTGAAGGAGGCAGTGGGTTGGGAAGGACTACAAGTCTGGAGCCTTTGGTTCTGCCCCCACTTTCATTGGTGTGGCTTGTGGCTGCTCACTTTCCTCCTGTGGGTCTCATTCTTCATCTGTAAAGTTAAGGGGCTGGGTTCCTGAGGGTTTTTTAGCCATCAAACTCTGTTCAAAGGGAGTCTCCTAAAGCCCACTTGTAGAAGAGGTAAAACTAGAACTGCTGCAGTTGATGGAGGGGAGAGGGGTGCAGTGCCAGCATCCCACCCACCTGGCTTTCTCTACCTCCCTCTCCCCATGGGGCCTCTGAAAACCACTAGGCTATTAGGGTCTCTTCAATATGTATGGCCTTTGAGAATTCTAGGAATACTTGCTCTGCTGTCTCAGACCATCTGGGCTGGATCAGGGCAAACTGTGCCTCCCTCATGTTAAAAATGAGGAAACTGAGGTACAATCAAATGAAGAGACTAGCAGGGGAGGTGCTGGATGACTGTTGCCAGTAAAAATATTTGACAGTTCCTTTCCCAAGTATAGGGGCATCTAAGTTTCATCAGTCATGGGCCAACTAAGCCAGAACCCCCATGTGGGGCTAGTAAATAGTTTGACAATCCTTGAGTATTGACTGGTTCACCTGGGGTTAAAGGCATGAAGTAAGCCACAGGTGTGAGCCAGGAGCATCTGGAGGCTTGTTCATACTTTTTTTCATGAGGATCCTTCATTACACTTCAGGTGCTCAGATCTCTCTGATCTGAATTATTTGCTTCACTTATTTCACTTATTAACCCCAGCATGACTGCTGCTCACTCCCAGGGTGGACAGTCCATACAGAGTGCTGGGCTTGTTGGCTAAAGGCCTCAGGCTTCATCTTGCATGTCCAGGCCTTTAGATGTGCCACATTGTAGATTGCATAAATTTTAGAGGTGGGGGCAGAAAGAAACTTCTGTTGACATGCCCTAGGGAAGGAAGCTACCTGTTTGCAGGTGATTTTGTTCTCATATGGTCACCAGGTTCAGGAGACAAGCAGTGTCTGGAGAAGGGATTACTGGCACTGAAGAGTTGCTAACCTTTGTTAATTTTTCTGACAAATAGTTTGAGTGCTTCCTGTGACATACAAAAGAGACATATTTTCTGCTCTTGTGAAATTCTTGGCCTATGTGAGGAGACAGTAATCAGAGCATTCCAGAAATGTTTGCTTACAATCTTGATCAGTACCATGGCAGGAGGGTCAGGGGATGGAGACCAGGAGCTGGGGAAGGCTGCCCTGCAGGAATGGCATTTGAGCCAAGGCCTGAAGTGTGATTAGGATTACAGGAAGGGGATCAGGCAGAGGAGTCTCTGGAAAGAAGGACCCCAGTGTGGAAGGGAGAGCAGCTTGAGGAAGAACTACAAGGAGAAGAGGACAAGGGGGGTGGCATAAAATGAGGTACCCCTGGGACCACAGTAAGGATGTTGGTGTTTATTATCCCAAAGCAGATGGGAGCAACAGTGAAGGACTTTTGGCAGGGGAGGGACATGATCCAGTCTGCTTCCAGATGATAGCTTTGACTGTTGAGAGGGAGTGGGGAGGGGACTCCTCAGGAGATGTTCAGCCTTCTGCAGGGTGGGGGTTGTGGATGGCAGAGAAGGGCACTGCTCACCGCCTCCCCACTTACCCCCACTCCTCCAGGATCAGCGACATCCGACTCTTCATCGTGGATGCCCGGCCAGCCATGGCTGCCACCAGCTTTGTCCTCATGACTACCTTCCCGAACAAAGAGCTGGCTGATGAGAGCCAGACCCTGAAGGAAGCCAACTTGCTCAATGCTGTCATCGTGCAGCGGTTAACATAACCGCCCCACCGGCTGCCTCACCACCCTCCTTGTTTCCCACGGCCGGCAGCTATGCCCGTGGGCATCTCCTCTCCCACCCCATTGTGCACACCCAGCAGTCCAGTGCCACGTTTCCTTCGTAGCTCTGGGTTCTTAGATCTTGGTTGGACATTTGTTTTCTCCTTAGTTGCATTTCCTGGGTTTTTGTGATGATCAATGGACTTTAATGAAAAGAAAAAAAATAAAAACAACCAAAAAAATTGAAGGAATATCACCAGCATGTTGTACAGAAACTCTCCCACTGAAGCAGGCTTTGATTGCTTTAAACTCATACTTACCTTGGGGACATGTGGGGTGGAACCTTCCATCTTTTCGCATAAAAATTGCTTGTGGCACATAACACTCATCCAAACTGTGTGTCCCACCCACCACCCCCAAAGATGACTATGTGGAGGATATCCCCCATTATGGGCGGGTGGGGGAGGATGTGTAGAAAGAGACTTTACAGCTATGTGCTCCAACAAGAATATATAACTTAGATAAAACTGGGCAGCAGCAAGAGTCGCCTGAAGTGTGAGGTCAGACCTAGCTGCACACAACTCCTTCAGGGGAAAATAACTACTTCCCTATGCTCCTTTCACTCAAGCCTTGGGAAATCAACACTCCCCAGACCTTGGCCAGTTGAGATTCTACACTACCTGTCTGCCCCAGCCCTTTCTTCCTCATTATCCAGGCTGCTCTGCCATTGCTTTATTTACTCCACGTGGAAAAGTCTTAAGTGTACCTAGGAGATAGATGAGGTATTTGTTCATTAGAATACAGCTCATGCCAACCCAGAAGTTCAGAATCAGTATATCTTGGTTAGAGAAACAGAATCAAAATGCCACTGAGCTATTCACTAATGGTGTATGGCAAATCAGCTGCTGAAGAAGGGGTGGATTTCCTGTGCTACAACCACTTTTTACTGTGTTGGTGTTTGCAAGAAGCTTCTGCTGAGGGAATTTTGAGGGTAGGTGAAACATCAGCACAGGGCTTTGGTTTGCAGGTTCCGCTCCACAGTTGTTCTCTGCCTACTAACTTCTGACTTGCAGACACTTTGGCAGTAGTCCCAGCCTGATAAAGACCCTCCATCCCCATAATTTGCTTTCTGTGCAAATTCGGGAGAGGAGGACCCTTGGGCTTCTGGATGGAATCCTTTCCCCTTCCCTCTTAAATGAACCACAGACTTAGAATCAACACTGACTTGGAATCTCCTGGTGTCGAATCATTACGTGCCTCGATCCTCTTTCCAAGCAGTCATCACCAGTCACTCACTTTTCCAGTTCGCCCACTGCAAGGAGCCAAGAATGCACACCATCCACTCAGAGCTGCGGAAGGGCTTCTGGCATAACAAAGACCTATCCTGAGAAAGGGACTTGGTGCTTCCAATCCCAAACTTCCCAAACTGGCAGTGGCCAGCCGGAGCTGCAGCGTCTGCCAGTATTTCCTCCAGCAGGTGGAGGTAAAAGTGGAAACTAAATGTGGGTCTGGAAAAATTAAGTTATTGTCACCTTGACCATTAAAAACCAGAATGAGGATGATGGAGTTTTGTACTTTCTAATGCTTTACTTTGAAGGTAATTAACAGCAGCCGTCGTAAGTACTTCAGTGCTTCACAGCATTCCCGCTTCACTGCAAAACCTAAAGCCCAGGTCACAGCTTGTAAGTGGTAAGGTGCTGCCTGTCAGCCTCCAAAGCCCACGGTCTTAACCACCATACCCCCGTATGCATATTCTCCATCCCCAACCACCAGGCCCTGTATACATACCCTCAATGCCCTCCTATCCCCTTCTCAGTCTTTCTGCTTACATTGATTAGTATGTACCAGAAGAGATTATAAAAATGCCCTCTTAGAACCTGCATCACCTAGAATAGTTTGCAAAGGGCTCTTAGAAGCTCTGGGAAGTGAACAAGGCAGGTGATCTTACTGCTGTTGCCCTGTTGATGCAACCACCACAGTTTGGATAGTCCCAGGTCCGGCCCAAGGTCAGAAGGGTTGCTGGCCACAGCCAGGGATCTCACTGGTCTGGCTCCAGGCTGGGGAGGGATGTTTCCTGCCCTAGATTTCTGTTCTGGGTGGCCTAGATGGAAAGGTCCATCCACCCAGATAGGCTTTCACAGGTTTTAAAAAAAAAAACAAAACTCAAGACTACTCAACAACCATTGGTTCTGGGGCTTCTGAATTCAGGGCAGTTCTTAACTGGGGCATTTTGGATCATCCCAAAAATTGGGGAGTAAGGGAACCTCCCAGCATTAAGTGGGCTGGGGCAAGGATATATTGCAATGCAGGGGACATGTCCTGATGGGAAAAAGCTATCAGTAATTCTTCAGAGTGAAAAGGGTAAGTTAACTGTCACGATGTCCTTTCTAACAAGTGCAGTTGAAACTAGTCTGTACTGTGGCACGGGTGTTGTTTGCTTGGTCTTGTTAACCAAGCCAGGCAGGCATCCATCCTGTAGGTAGAATTTTGTGCACATCTGGCCACTTCCTCAGTAGATGGCTACGGGAGGGAGCAGGCATGTAGGAAGAGAGCTAGGCACATCTTTATGGCTTAGGGTGGCATTGCCAAAGTGCCTTCCAGAGGAGCAGCAGCCGTTTGCATGCCCACGAACAGTACAAAGCATGCCCTTCACTGCCCACAACTTAAAGGTGACTTGGAGCTCATTCAGGGGAAACAGCTGGTGCAGAAACGTGGCTTCTCTGCTGCTCCCTCTGTTCTAACCATCAGCATCTCAGGGAACTGCAGCCTCAAGAATCCCTCCCAGGCCCAAATAAAAGGAGGCCTTCCTTCTTTAAAATGGGTTTGGGACCTGTGTCTGTAGCCTCCCACACTCTTGCCAGGACAGGGAAGCAGAGTAGAAAACACATCCTTGACTTGCAACATTTGTCCTGGGTCCTAGTGTGAGCCAGCTCCTGCATTGTGTGACTGCACCTGTTTCAGTGGCCTCATCCCTCACACCATGTCCAGTCCATCAGCAAGTCCTCCAGTGCCGTTTCAAATGCATCCTCAATCCAGCCACTTGTCATCCGTCCCCTGTGATCTCCCACGCCAGCATCAATCATCTGTCACACCTACCACAGTAACCTCATTGGTCCCCCAATTTCCACCCTTGTCCCACAAAAGTCTAGTCCCACCCAGGCAGGGAGGCTCCTTTTGCAACGCTAACCACAGCCTGTTACTCCCTTCCTCTAAAGCCCTCAGGAGCTTCCCATTACCCTTGGAAACATCCAAGACCCAAAGAGCCCCCCAGTCCATTGCCCCTGCCTGTCACCCTTTGTCCCTTTGCCCCACTTTACTTTCCTCCTTAGCCTCCAGCTGATACGTTATATACTCTTGATTTATGTGTTTGTTTCCTTTGTCCTTCCACTAGATTATCAACTCCACAAGGGCAGGGATTTCTGTGTTCTTCACTCCTGTATCCTAAGCAGTTGGCGCAGTGCCTGACACATCATAGATCCTCAACAATAACTGGCTGCGTGAAGCTATGAAATGGAGATATGACCTCCTTATCTAAAGGATGGAAGACGATATCGCTTAAAGCTCCCTCATATGGCAGGTGCTTGGTAACTGCAGTTACCCGCCCGAAACAGGTTCTCCGTCAGTCACAGGGTCATTGTTCTGCAGGGCGCCTATAGCTGCAGGTTCTTCCTGCTCAGGTGCTGAAAAGAGAGAGCAAAAACAGGTGTATCTGGGGGTGGGGAGCAGGGAGTGAAGGGAATGCCCCCCCAGCACCTTCCCCACCTGCCTCAGCTGGAGTAGGAGGTTTATTAAGGGCAAGTTACCCACCATACTGAGCACCTGAGACCCTCAATGCCAGGACTAGGCCCACTGATAACAATAGTAGCTGCTGTTATTTGAGCATTAACTTTGTGCCAGGCCCTGTATGTACCTTACCTCATTTAGTTTAACAACAACCCAAAGGTACCATGTATTAGCCCATTTTATGGGAGAAGACACTGAGGCTTAGCACAGTGAAGGGACTTGCCTGAAGTCACACACGGAGTAAGAGGCAGAACCACATTTGAATCCCTGACTACAAAGCCATGGTGCTTGACCACGAGGCTCTACCTGTGAAAAAGGCAGGACCAAGTTCAGAGGCACGAGGGCTGACTAGGACTGGGGAAGGGAGAGGCAAGACAGAAGGGCTTCTCAGAAGAGCTGCATTGTGAAGCATGATTAGGGGTTGGTTCTTTGACAAAAAGGCAAAAGGCTTTCACTTCCTTAAAAGACAACAGACCCGGTGGGCATGTAAAGGCATGAGACAGGCAGATCTGGCCTTGAACTTAGGTTCATTCTTTTACCAGGTAAGGCCTTAGACAAGACCCTAAGCTTCTCTGAGCCTTGGTTTCCTCGTTTGCAAAAGAGGGATTAGTAGTAGTTTCTACCTCTTACACTGTGGGGATTAGCGGTGTCTGTGAAACATTTGACACATAGTAGGAACTTTATAAATGATAATAATAGCTGCCATTTATTGAGTCTGTACCATGTGCCAGGCACTTTGTTAGACACTTTATTAAGCATGATCTTGTTGACTATTAACACTTCTGTGAGGCAGGTGCTTTTATCATTCACATTTTTACAGAGGAGGAAACTACCTCGTAAATAGTAGGCACCCTGTAAATTAAATATCTGTTGGATAAATCAACTGAGAATCGGAGAGGAGAAAGCTTGTCAAGAACACACCACTAATAAATGACAGCCGAGACTTGGAAGGCAGCTATGCTCACCACTATACCACTAATGTGACAGCCAAGACTTGAACCAAAGGCCATCTAACTCCATCCTTGTGCCCTCTGTACCACAAGCTCATTTTAAATCAGATTCTGGGTGAACCTCACGCAGCAGGAAAATTTCAGGCTTGGGAGTCAGACTGTGGGGTACTAGCTATGTGACCTTGGGAAGTTCCTTAGTTGGATCACCCATGTGACAGTACACGAAGATGGACCTATTTCCATCCTAATTTGGCTGGGGTCCCAAGACAACAGGGGGCCCAACATTCCCACCTCCCAAGGTGAGATACTGCNTAGTAGGAACTTTATAAATGATAATAATAGCTGCCATTTATTGAGTCTGTACCATGTGCCAAGCACTTTGTTAGACACTTTGTTAAGCATGATCTTGTTGACTATTAACACTTCTGTGAGGCAGGTGCTTTTATCATTCACATTTTTACAGAGGAGGAAACTAAGTACCTTGTAAATAGTAGGCACCCTGTAAATTAAATATCTGTTGGATAAATCAACTGAGAATTGGAGAGGAGAAAGCTTGTCAAGAACACACCACTAATAAATGACAGCCAAGACTTGGAAGGCAGCTATGCTCACCACTATACCACCAACGTGACAGCCGAGACTTGAACCAAAGGCCATCTAACTCCATCCTTGTGCCCTCTGTACCACAAGCTCATTTTAAATCAGATTCTGGGTGAACCTCATGCAGCAGGAAAATTTCAGGCTTGGGAGTCAGGCTGTGGGATACTAGCTATGTGACCTTGGGAAGTTCCTTAGTTGGATCACCCATGTGACAGTACACGAAGATGGACCTATTTCCATCCTGATCTGGCTGGGGTCCCAAGACAACAGGGGGCCCAACATTCCCACCTCCCAAGGTGAGATACTGCCCACACATAGGGTTTACAAAGAGGAGGCTGAAAACCAGCTGTTTGATTCCTGGTGTAGCCCCTCTCCCACACCAAGGATGTGAAAGGATCAAATTGGAGATCAGAGAAGGGTTTTCTTTGAAGGGAGTTGCTGGAGGGCTTTGAGTTCCCAGGGGAGGGGAGAGTGTGCTTTCCTCCCCCACCAGCCTAGTGAATGGGGTCTCAAGGAGGCCACCCGAGAGTTTGAAATTATGACGGTGCCAGGCATCTGCCTGACACCTGAGCGACCTCAAGAGCAAGAGGCTGCCGGAGCTAGAAGAACTTGCTGCCTGGGGGAGCCTGTACCCCTAGAGTCTGTGGAACCAAAGGGTGCACATTGTCTCCCACAAGCCTGATGTGGGCCCCACGAGGCAGCTGGACTGGACAGTCTGGGGTCCTGCTCTGGAAGAACAGAGGGACCTCAGTGGAGGATGGAACTTGGATTCCAGGACTGACGGAAGAGACACAAGCAGCGAGCCAGAGACTTACATTAGCCTCCTTGAGTGTGGGTGAGAGCTCCCTGCAGTGGATCACAATCTGAAGAGCCTGTGAATGCACCCCAGAGAGGAGCTCAGAGCATCTGCCCCTGCCACAGGAAGCCAGCAGGCCCTTTCCTGCCCCTTGCCTCTCCTGCGACCTTAGCCCTGAGAGAGGGGGAGAAGCTGTACCTCTGAATGAATTTGGAAGTTTTGACTATGACATAGGAATGGCCTTTAAAAAAAAAATCTGTTCACATGGTTAATATTCACATGGTTCAAAAATTTTTTTTACCTATCTCCCTTCCACCCTGTCCCCTATTTATTCAATTGCCTTCTTTCCCTTCTCACTATGAGTTTCTTAGGTATCCTTCCAGAGTTCCTAAATACAAACCAATACCCTATGTCTATTCTGACATACATTT